TTTCTTTCTCGCCCCTCTGTCTGTCTCATCCGCCAGCGCTGGGCAGATTTAAAACTTCAGCAACGGAGAGCTGGATGTATCAGCTCTATGGAAGCATATAGGTAGCGAAATTCAATTGAATTTTAATTTTAATTTAATTTATATAATTTCATTTTCATTTTCCTTTTGCAACAAACTTTGCATGTATGGGTAAAGGAAAATGTAAATTTAAATACAGAAATACATTGCCATTTTGAATATTGCATTGCCATTTTGCATATTGCATTTTAAATTGAATTTCGCTACCTATATGCTTCCATACAGCTCTACCAATTAGTGTAAACGTCCTGTGGGTTCTGGACAATTTGTATTGTTTTGATACAAGCATTCGCTGCCGTTCCACTGAGACTGTCTCACCAGACAAGGGTGCAGAGCGTTGCATGAACGGAGGTCCAAATTTGTCTAGAATTAACTTTGTCCAGCATCTCTGTTATTAAACGTCATACTGTTATTGCCAGTGTTTTCCTAATATGCTAATTTGCTGCTCAAGAAACATTTCTTATCAATGTTGCTGCTGAACATTTTTGTGGAAACCATGATGGGTAACACTTTATTTTAAGGTGTCCTTGTTACTCATATTACATGTACTTCCTATTATAATATCAATTAATTATGCATAATTACATATAAGTAACCCTAAGTCAAACCCTAATCCTAACCCTAACCATATAGTAATTAGTTAATATTAATCAGTACTTAAATGTATAATTACACTGCAACAAAGACACCTTAAAAAATAAAGTGTAACCCCATGATGCTGTAACGCCAAGCCAGCAGAGGGAGCCCTCGCCCGAGTACTGACCGTGCTCCACTCCCTCTGCTTCCTCTACTTCCATTTCCTGTTTGACTCTCATATAAACTGAGACCAGTCCATGTGCTGATCGCGAAGTATTTATCTAGATCATCAAGGAGAGAGATTCGAATCAGAGGGCAAAAAGTGCGCTTTCATCATGACACTATTGACGGGCCGAGCTATCGACTGGGCAGCAGCCGTTTGGGACTCAGATTCACGCCTGAGGCATTCAGTGACGTACTTAATTCAACAACTCCGCGAAGTGTTTGAATATCCTCACAGCGGAAAGGACGTTTCGACACAGCTCATCAATCTGACACAAGGTAATCGTCCCGCTGCTGAGTTTGCCATTGAATTCAGAACACTCGCTGCCCAGAGTGGATGGAACGATGTCGCTTTAAAAGCTATGTTCCACAAAAGTCTCAACTGCGATCTTCAAGCAGAACTTGCATGCAAGGGTGAGGAGTCCTCCTTCTCCGCTCATGGATTCTAACCAAACTCCAGCGTCTCTGTTACAGATGCATTACCATTTAATAAAACCATTTAATTAAAAATAGGGTAACTCTTGGATCAATTCCCAAAAGTTAAGGTAATTAATGCATTTATTTAGCAAGAACATATTAATTTGATCAAAAGTGACAGTAAGGACATTTATAATATATAATGCTACAAAATAATTTGGTAACACTTTACAATAGGGTTCCATTTGTTAACCATTTAATGCATTAACTATGCATTTACATTAACTAACAATGTGCAATACATTTGCTTGCTACAGTAGGCTATTTATTAATTTTTGTTAATGTTAGTTAATAAAAATACAGCTGTTCATTGTTAGTCCATATTAGCTCAGGTCCATTAAATTACATTAATAGATACAACTATTGATTTTAATAATGTATTAGTAAAGGTAGAAATCAACATTAACTAAGATTAATAAATGCTTTAGAGTTTTTTTCCATTGTTAGTTTATTGTAAAGTGTTACCAAGATTTTTGCTTCAAATAAATGCTGTTCTTTTGAACCTTCTATTCATCAAAGAATGCATCATGGTTTCAACAAAAATATATAAATAATACCAGTAATAATTGATAATACAGTAACTGACCAGCAAATCTTCATATCAGAATGATTTCTGAAGGATCATGTGACACTGAAGACTGAAGTAATTCGATTTTAAATTAAATTAAATTTTACAATACATTTTTACTATATATTTGATTAAATAAATGCAGTCTTGCTGAGGCTTCTTTGAAAACATTAAAAACATTGGTAGGATTAAGTATCTAAAATCTTGCTGACCCCAAACTTTATTTATATATTTTACTTACTTATTTATTAGTAATATATTTGGGGTCAGTCAGCTGTTTTTTTTTAGGCATCAAATCAGCACATTAGAATGATTTCTGAAGGATCATGTGACACTGAAGACTGGAGTAATGATTGCATCACAGGAATAATTACATTTTAAAATATATTCAAATAGAAAAACAGTTTTTTTTATTGTAGTTCTTAGCTAGACCTGCAAACATAACTGTTATTGTCTGTTTTAAATGTGCAGAAAAATAAAAATCATGGGGTCTCTCTGACACATGGGGGCCGGTTGAACAGGGACACACCATTAGCCCTTTCATACTCCCCACCCAACGAGATTTATACTGCAGTCGGCTTAGCCAGTGTTACCTGTCCTATCATGATGAACGACTTCCCTATGAGAACAACCTCCGAGTATGAACACTTGTGGCTAAGAGTGAAAAACGAATGAAACTTAATATCACGGCCTGAACGATAGCAGCTACAGAAGACCAGCAATGCCATTAATTCTCTCGCTTTCTCTACTTGATTTTATTGTTCTGCTAGTCTGTGCGGTTGCTGATTCAACCGGTGGATGTTATCTATATTAATATTATCAGATTCACCCCAGGGGATGCCTAAAAATGCTTTGGAAACCAGAGAGGGATTGCAAATGAGTCATCTCAAGTAATGAGCAGTAAGAGATGTTAATATAGATAATGTGCTACTGATTAATGAGGAAATTGCACTTCAGATAGCCTGTGTGCGTGGGATAAATTGGACACCTGTGTATCTATAACTTTAATTCTGTGTTCAACAGTTTTAGTCACATTTCAATTTGTGCTAAATGATGCAGGCACGCTGAGGCCTTCATATACGCTCGTGTCTGACAATCTGGAAAGTTTTTATTTAAGCCTGGAAATAAATGTGTGAAGAACATTTAATTATCTAAAGAACCCTTTTCCACTGTAAAGAACCTTTTGTGCAACAGAAGGTTCCATGGATGTTAAAGGTTCTTATGGGTGCCAATAAAGAACCTTTATTTTTAAGCATGTACAGTTTTCAACATGCTTTTATCAGGGATTTCTCACATATATATTCACATACATAATGTTCGGTTATATTATTTCCAGGTTTTAGTACAGCCTGAAACATTGCTTATGTTAGAAACATGCATTGCATCTATTTAGGGACACATGTCTGTCTGTCTTTCTTCATTTTCTTTTTTTCTTTCTGGCAGTGCGGTCCTCACTCTTGGACACCGCAGATCTCAGATGTGTTTCCAGACTTGGGGCCAGTCAGGAATGAGTTTATGATATCACACTGTGAAATCAAACATCTTTCTCTCCACTCTGCAAACAGCCAGAGGACCTGTGCGCAGTCAAACAGAGATTCTGCCTCTACCACATTTGCATGCAAGAGCCTTTATACTGCAGCGTGATATAAAGTGAAGTACAACATATGTAGTTTAAATGTAGACATTAATTTCATATAATCCAATTTACAGTACAGTTGTGGTCAGTAAGATTTTTTTTAAAGAAATTAATATGATTATCAGAAGAAATCGTTACATTTTTAACTCTATTTATCAAAGAATCCTGAAAAAAATGCCATGGTTTCCACCAAAATAGGAAGCAGCACAACTGTTTTCAACATTGATAATAATAAGAAATGTTTCTTGAGCAGCAAATCAGCATATGTGTCCCTGGACCACAAAACCAGTCATAAGGGTCAATTTTTCATAAAGGGAAAGCTGAATAAATAAGCTTTCCATTGATGTACGGTTTGTTAGGATAGGACAATATTTGGCCGAGATACAACTATTTGAAAATCTGGAATCTGAGGGTGCAAAAAAATCTAAATATTGAGAAAATTGCCTTTAAAGTTGTCCAAACGAAGTCCTTAGCAATGCATATTACTAATCAAAAATTAAGTTTTAATATATTTACAGTAGGAAATTTACAAAATATCTTCATGGAACATGATCTTTACTTAATATCCTAATGATTTTTGGCATAAAAGAAAAATCAATAATTTTGACCCATACAATGTATTTTTGGCAAATATACTCCAGCGACTTAAGACTGGTTTTGTGCTCCAGGGTCACATATTAGAATGATATCTGAAGGATCATGTGACAAGTGAAGAAAATTCAGGTTTGCATCACAGAAATAAATTACATTTTAACATATATTCATATAGAAAATAGTTATTTTAAATTGTAATAATATTTCACAATATTACTGTTTTTACTGTGCTTTTGGTCAAATAAATGCAGCATTGGTGAGCATAAAAATATATAAAAAAAAAAAACAACAAAAAAACTTTCCAAACCCAAATCAAATCCACCACTTTGCTGATGCTAGTGCCTTGTTCCACTAATTCAGCTATTTAATTTAATATATGAATGTATGCAGAGTTTTCTGTATAATTTTTTTTTCTTTGTAATCTAATATGTTTCTCATATGTGGTAGAAACTTCTCAAAGAAGATGATAAAAACCTGCACTGACCACATTTTCTGTTGTGCCACTTCTAACCTTAAAACCTATAACTACATTCTTGAACTTCTATAAGTCCGTTATTATATTAACTATATTAGTATTTAAACCTGTGAAATCTCTGCTTTCAACAGGAACCAGCTGTCCCCTTTGTCCTCTAGATGCTGCGAGGCACTTTGAGCGTGTTCATCTGGAGAAACCTCCTGAGTTCACACGCTTTGATGCTATAACATAAACCTTTAGCCTCTGAATAAGCTGTCAGCACTATGAGAGAGGGGGCGCACATAAAGAGAGAGATAGAAAAGACGTAGAAGAGAAAGATGTCTAATGACGTGAAGTGAAAAGGAAGCAGGCGGTTCTCAATAGGAGCTACTTACCGAAATCTTTTTTGCAGTATTTTTTCATGGTGACCTTCATCTTGCCCTTGGGGGTCTTACAGTGGGAGTCACAGTCTGAGGAAGATAACAGACAGAAAACTAGTGAAACGCAGGTAAAATCTGTGTGAAACAACAAAATGAGTTTGTCTTAGTAAAATTATATTTAAATGTTTTATGATCAAAGCACTGTAGTTTTTATTGTGGGGTAAAATATACAGTTTAATGCAATACAATGATGAATGAGAGATTAACAAGTAAACATTTTGATTACACTTTATTTTGTGTCCTTGTTACAGTGTAATTATACATTTAAGTGCTGAGTAATATTAATTAACTACATGTACTTACTATATGGTTAGGATTAGGGTTACTTGCATGTAATTATGCATAATTTATTGTTATTGTAATCGTAAGTACATGTAACGTGTCACAAGGACACCGTAAAATAACATGTTAACAGCATTTCCCAAAAGCCTGTTGTATCATCTTTGATACTCACATTTTAACATGATTTTTCTACAAAAATTATGTTTGGATAATCAAGTAAACCTATTAGTCCAGTAGGTGTTCATTTTGAAATATTACAAACAATATAAAAGTTATTCTCACATATACTTTGGAAAAATATGAAAAAATTTCACAGCTAAAAGACATGAGAACCAAGACCAGAAGGGGGAAGTTTATTAGAATGACACTAAAGGGACTTTTACATGCAAAAAAAAAGTATAAACCATCAATCAGACGACACAAGGCATGTTAGCAGATCATGAACAATAGGTTTTCAGCAAAGTTTTGCTCACATTGACAATCGAGAGGCCTTAGAAATTTGCATATCATAGGATTTCTAGGGTTATTGAAAATGGATACAAAGTGGCCCAAATGTATGAATATCTTCTCAATAGATCACAAAATATCAAACCACATGATATTTAAAAGAAGTTTAATAATAAAACAATCAATGTCCCATTTACAAAGGAAATTCTGGGACTAACTGGTTAAAAATAACAGCAAAAAGCATCATTTGTTTGCAGATGCCAATTGTTTTGTATTATACTGTCTAATGCAATAACACTGACGCAATTTTAAGTGTAACTGAAGTGTCCGGATGACTTTGAGGCCGCTGTTTCATTCACACATTTAAAGAGATTCACGTTAGACCTAATTAAGACTTAATGGCTATTTAATCATTTAATCTTTTCTTCACTTAACCCAGTCATTTTCTCACCCTAATTATCAGTGCCTCCCCAAATCCTCCCACTTACTCAGCGATGTCAGGGCAGGGGGTTCACAGGTCATTTAAACTTCATTCAGACACAGAACACCCCCGTCACTATGCCCACAATAGCCAATCCTCATTTAAACGCAGCTTTCCACATATAAACCTCAGGGATGGCGTCCAGCGCGCTATGATTTATAGCTCTTGCGCTCAGAGGATCTATTCGACACCACCATGGAGATTTGAACCCCACATTGAGGCCTGGCCGATGGAGTCACTTCAACGCCAGCCACCTTTTGGACCCAAACCAGAGCATTGGCTCGGTTCTCCTGACGCAAACCGAAACCCGAGAGTCTCTCGTCGCAGCTACTTCACATAGCGCAATAACTGCGAGATTTCTGGCCGACTGGAAGAGATGGGAGCGAGAAGACCTTTCAGCTTTCGCCTGAATATGGACAAACTTCATTATTTTCTCCGGCCCTCAGTCCAATCCACCCTTTTCATGTCCCTTTATATTCCGTCTGAATGAGGTTACCTGGGCAACGGCGAAGCAGGAAAGAACCACCAACCCGAATGAAAAAAAAAAAAGTTTGAAGGGGGAAAGTAAAAGGGGGGTTGAGGGCTAGAAGAGCAAGATGTCTGGCAGCTTTGGGGGGTGGTGCGCAGAATTAGGATGTGAAGGACCATGGGGGAGGACTGGAGGCAGGGAGTGAGAAAAAGTGCGGAGAAGGGGGTGGCGTTCCAAAAAAAGTAAATGATGCTGGCGAGTCCATATCAGCCACGCCTGATTTCCATGTAAATGCGTGAACGGAGGACGGGCGGCTTTTGTGTGGCGACGGCCCTTTTTCGCCTCATCCTGCCTCTCTTTGATAAGACTGGGCGGCCATTGACGCTGCCCATTACACCCACGTCCCCTCCATAATGGACGTCCCCTGTGGAGGGACAAATGTCTGCTTAATAGAGTCCCTCAAGCACAACTGTGCTGCTCCGCTGGGGAGCCACACTGGAGTGTCCTCACAGTAAACTACAGCAGGACAGGTAAAGAGAGTAAGAAAAGAGGTGAAACTTACTATTAGTTTGTGGCCCCTTTTCAATGAAATCTGTTTATTCTTAGAATACATCATGTAAATATTAATTAAATATTAATCAAATTTTGAACATATTCTATGTGCCGTTCAAAAGATTGCGGCCAGAATGTTTTTGAAAGTAGTCTCAAGGCTGCATTTATTTGATCAAAAATACAGTAACATCAGTAATATTGTGAAATATTATTACAGTTTTTATCTTTTTTTTTTTATTTATATACATTTTAAAGCATAATTGATTCCTGTGATGGCAAATGTTGAAAACAGTTTTGTTTTTTTTTGATGACTAGAGAGTTTGAAACACTGTAGCAGCATTTATTCAAAATAGAAACATTATAACTGGATTTACTGTCACTTTTGATCAGTTTAATGCATCCTTGATGAATAAAAGTATTACTTCCTTAGTGATCACAAACTTTTGAATAGTAGTTTATATCATTTATAATATTGTGATGTTTCATGTTTTGTATTGTCATTCTGTCATTCAATTTCTTTATAGTATTTTTAGTAGGACAGAAAAATCAATAAAGAAAGAAAATAAGAGGTCTGACGTTTAGCTGTGAATTTATTGAATGAGCAGTGTGCTACGTCCGAACTGATTACACTGTATTTTATGTATAATGATTTTTCTATTTTTAACTTTTTTAAATTCATTTTAAATCAATTTCTAAATCCTTTTAAAAGTTTTTAAGTTCCCTGTTTTATTGTTGTGATTTTAAAATACTTCCTTTTATGTAAAGTACTTTGAATTACCATTGTGTATGAAATGTGCTATATAAATAAACTTGCCTTGCCTTGAATCCACTTATATTTATTTGATTAAAAAATGCTTCCTAATTGTAACATTGAAACAAGCATTTTCTGTAAAGCAGTTTTAAAACAATATGTATGGTGAAAAGTGCTATACAAATCGTGTTGAAATGAATAAAAACAGGCTTGTAAAAAAATACTGTGCTAGCTGTATTTTATTTTTGGACACTTAATATATTTACTAATATTTTAAATATTCTTAGACACTTAATAAATTTACTTTTCAATTGATATATTTATTATATATATTTCAATTTTTGTGTGAAATTTAACAAGAGTACAAAGTGTGTGGGGGGAAACAGTGGACACGACCCAAGCCAGACACAAAATCATGTCTCCCAGATACAGTATAAGTGCCTCAGATGCGATATGAAAGTATTGATTAATAATAATTATTACAAAATTGGGACCAGATTGATGCAGACCATATTAAAACCAGCATGTCACAATGACCACCACAACTGCACTAACTAGGGGAATGTAATTGCTCTTAGTGAAACATCTCAGAGCTGATAGAAGCCAGAAAGCGTTCAGCAGCTGAGTTTGGCTCCATGGGACGGCTGCACGTCACAGGCGTTACTCCCACAGCGCAGACAGTGATCGGGCAACTTGGGTAATTGAGTATGAATAGAAGTACAAGGGTGTGTTCTCCCTCACGGCACAGCGCTGCGAGAGTGTGATGGCCGGGAAAGCAAACGCATTCAAATGAAGCATGTAATCAGATTAGGGTCCCAGCCAGTTTCGATGGTGACTGAGACAGAGCGAGCAGAGAAGGAAAGCCATGGCTCATGTTGATATCCTCATGATTAAGAAAACCTCACGCAGATCTTAGAAATCAAAGATCCACTGCTGCATTTTTATGGCTCTGTTTTGGCAATCTAAGGCATGCGGTAAAGTCAGCATGCTCATGGGGTTTATTGTGTAATATTGACACAGGTGGCAAATAAATACATAAATGGACATGAAATATTGATTAGATTTGTTTTGGCGTGAAATGAGAGACAAACTAACACAGCTATGTAGAGAATTTGTTGCTGTGACATTATACTAAAAATGGGAAGGCAGATTAACATATTATTATTATTATTAATATATAATATACAGTAATTAATGTGATTCATATATTGAAAATAATTTAAGTCATTGTGTTCCAGTTTATTCCTCTTCTTTATGTATTACACTTATATGTGTGTGTGTGTATACATATATAAACTAGATATAGTTATATATACAAACCATATAAAGTAAATATATATATATATATAACTTTTTATACATTTAGAATTTTTTATAATAAAATTAATTAATTTTAAAAGTTAATTATATGTAAAAGTTATCGAAGCATGTTTCCACCATTAAGAAATTAATTGAGAGAAGACTTTCAAAATTATTATTAATATATTATTTTAAATTATTATTATTAGTATTAGTAGTAGTAGTAGTAGAATTATTACTATTATTACACAATGTAGAAAAAAATCGTTTCACTTAAATTTTTATGGTTCTGTAATTCTGTGGTGCTAATTATTATTATACTGTTTATTTTCATGTAGCATCAATATTTTGGTAAAAATTTAGACCAGGTACATTTTAGAACTTCTACCATTAATTATGAAATATTGATTTAGTACATATAATTATATAGTACACATAGTTTTTTTTTTTTTAAAGAATATTTAGCTTTTGCAAGGACATTCTAAAAGCTTCTGGAATATTCTGGAACATTCCAGAACAGTGTGGGACTAGTCATTAAAAACAAAAGCGTACACATTCTCTTTTGATTCACTTTTGGTAACTGTTTATGTTAAACTGACATTTGTTAGCTCAGTATTACGCATCTATGTAATTTTTCTGCATGATTAAAAATAGATTAGCTTGTATCAACTTGTAAGTTGTTGATATTTTTTTGTTTTCATGAGCACTGTTAATGGCACATGAAAAGTAATGTGATTTTTGTATTCAGCATGTCAAACTTCATACAGAAACGTTGTGAAACAAAACATTTTCATGGTATAATTATCAACATTTTGCAATTCGTATTTTGCCGTTTGCATAGAATGTTTGAATCAAAGCGCAAAAAATCCCAAACAATAAACACAAATTTGTGTTTGGAATATCTTCCCATATAGAGCTAAGCCTTATTAAGTAAGTGAATTTGAAGTTCCTGAAAGTATTTTTATATGCAGGTTTTATTTGCTTTCCTGAACTCACCTGTGGGCTCTTCTGAACTGCTGTAGGTGGCTGTGGGTGCAGCAACAGGAATCTCTGCAACAACCAGTCAAGAACAAACAATCAAAACCTCATGGAACTTTATACTGCTCCTTTCAATAAACACATCTGAACTTACATTTTTTTTTTTTTTAAAGATCAGCTTTATTAGACATATCAGCTTTATTAGACATATCACTGATGACGTGAAGATGTGGCGGTTTCTAGTTTTAATGGGTTTCCTGTCTAAAGCCCCTACTTCCTTTTTAAGCGTTCTGCTGTCACATATACACCGATAGGGGATCGAGGCTTGTTAAAAAGTGCAGTTGGCAAAAATTTAATATCAGGCTATTAAAACAAAAGCACGTTATAGCACGAAATAGATGAGAAACCAAATTTTTTCACTCAATCCACTTTCTCTCCAGGTTTAACAGCACATTTGTTACCTAGCCTGAGAAATTAGGGGAAATCTAGTTTCTCGGGGATCGGGGGTTTCATTTGTCTACGTGAATTCTTGCCAAGCAAATCTGAATGGCTTCATGCGTACAGTCACTTTTGTCAGCGGTCCAGATAAATCTTTATTTCGATGTCATCAGTTACTACATAATAGAAATGGTTCACATTAACAGGCGCGCATTGTATTGCGCTCCCAGCGAGTATCTTATCGAGAAATGCCAGCTGCTGTGTGGGCCTGTCCTTAATCGCCACAGTGACCGTCTGCTGCCTTGTTGATACTGCCAATAAACATATCACCCATCATGCCCCTGGAGCAGGCTGTGAGATTTATGAGTTGAAAGGCCATCAGTGAGGTTCAGGGCAGACTAGGTCATGTCAGCCAGGGCTTTATGGTCTGTTTGACTTAGCGGAGGGCAATCAGCAAATGTCCATCCAAGGAAATAATTGAACAGGGGAGCGATGCGGAAATTAAATGGGCCGGGGCCATGAAATCATGAATAATAATAATAGGTGTTTATGCAGAATTTCTTTGGAGTATTATTATTGATGTCTCTGTGGGTGGTAATGGGACAACAAGTCATGTTGGACCACCTCATTTAGTGCAAGAATCATTTTTGAATAATAGATTATTATTATGCTTTTATAACAACCATTTTGTGTCGCTGTGTTATTTATTTAGAGGTCACCCTAATTTTTCAAGAGGTAGAGGAGATGCAATGAAATTGAAGGTTATTCAGCGTGCTTCAGTACTGTTTTCCCACTGAGGTGGGCTTTATATTTAGTTTTGGTGTTTTTTATTGTTATTTTTTGTTATTCACAATTATTGTCCAATTGCATAGTAGGAGGTGTAAAAATTATTCTACGGTACTCTCATAGTAGATATGAATAAATATTTTAGATGAAAATACACGTATTTAAAAAATAGAAAGCCAAGAAATAGGAAGCTATTAAACAGATTTACTTAGATTGACTAAGGATTATCCTATATGTTACCCAAATTAGGACATAAAATCTTGATTCTGCTAGTAATTATTCACCAGTAGTGGTTTATCTTTCAAACAGTTTTTTATCAAGCAGTTTTCTGTAAAATTGTGTCTTTGGCAACATTCCTATTGAAATAACTATTGTTTATTGATGCAGGCTTTCTTATTTCTTGTTGATTTTAATTGAATATACACACCTGTCCAAAAAGTTTGGAGTTGGTAAGATTTGTAAATATATATATATATATTTTTTTTTTTGTTTTTTTTTTGTTTGAAAGAAGTCTCTTATGCTCACCCAGGATGCATTTATTTGATCAGAAATGCAGTAAAAACAGTATAATATTATGAAATATTATTCTAATCAAAAATAACTGTTTCCTATTTGAATGTATTTTAAAATGTAATTTATTCCTGTGATGAAAAGCTGAATTTTCAGCATCATTACTCCAGTCTTTATTGTCACATGATCCTTCAGAAATCTTTCTAATATGTAATCATTCTTAATATTTTTGTGGAAAGCATGATATTTTTTTCAGGATTTGTTAATGAATAGAAATGTATGTATAATGTATAATTTGTAACATTATAGATGTCTGTATTGTGACTTTTGTTTAATTTAATGCATCCTTGCTAAATAAAAGTATTGATTTAAAAAAAATATATATATATATTACTGACCCCAATCAGAAGTGTAATAAATTTGCTAATTTTCAACACTAAGAATTAACACATATTCCTTTAT